AACTCCAATCCTTCAAGGTTCTCCCAACCCTAAAACCCAAATCCTTCAAGCTCCTTCCTAGCCCACAACTCCAATCCATCGAGCTCCTTCCAAGCCCAAATCTCTGGGGATTTGAGGCTCCCCTCTCCCTAAACCTCCCCATGTTCAATATTCAGCAGCTGCTCAGCACTTCCACCCAAGCCCAGGCTCGTGATTAAAGCTGAGCTGTGGGCTCCACTGGAGAATTTGAATTCATCTCCCTGATTTATTGCAGCTCCGGAGGAATCCGACAGCAAACAGACTTTGATATCCTGTTCAATAATTATCCCATCAATATTTATCTCCCAGGAATGCAGGAATTTCATGCAGGGAATCACTGGATCAGCTCTTCCTGCCCTGGTTGTGAATCAGCCCAGAGCAGCCCCATCATTCTAATGAATCCCATTTTTCCAGCCTGGACCAAAGGCCAGGACTGCAAAAGCCAATATTTGTTAAATGCCTGTATTAATTCCAAGGAAAATGTGCTGGGAAGTGGCAGCTCCAGCACTGTCCCTATGTCCCCATGAGGTGTCACTGAGCCACTGAAGCCCAGGACAGGTTGGAGCTGCCACTTCCCAGCACATTTTCCTTGGAATTAATACAGGCATTTAACAATTAATACAGGCATTTAACACCCTGGAAGGTGCCAGGGATTCCCAGGGCACTCTGGAAGGTGCCAGGGATTCACTGCCCAGATCATTCCCTGCTCCCTAAGAACCTCCCCGAGCCTGAGCTCCAAGCAGGGGTGGGCGTTCCCTGCAGGATTTTCATGGAATTCAGGCATTCTCTGTGAAGAATGGGGTGCATTTGGGGTTTTTTCCAAATCCAGGGACTCAACTCTGCTCCCAGCCCGTTTGCCAGAGGGCTCAGCTCTGCCAGCGCCCTTCGGGAAAGGAAAAGGGGGAGGAAAACCCAGCAGGGCGAGGTGGGAATGGGATGGAGCTGGAGCTGCAGTGCGAGACCCCAAAGGTGTCCAGACCCCAAAGGTGTCCAGATCCCAAACGTGTCCCAGACCTCAAACGTGTCCCAGATCCCAAACGTGTCCCAGATCCCAAATGTGTCCAGACCCCAAATGTGCCCCTGACCCCAAACGTGTCCAGATCTCAAACATATCCCAGATCCCAAACGTGTCCCAGACCCCAAATGTGTCCCAGACCTCAAACGTGTCCCAGATCCCAAACATGTCCCTGACCCAAAATGTGTCCCAGATCACAAACATATCCCAGATCCCAAACATGTCCCAGACCCAAAATGTGTTCAGATCCCAAATCTGTCCCAGATCCCAAACATGTCCCTGAACCCAAACATGTCCCAGCCCCCATACACATCCCAGACCTCAAATATGTCCCAGATTCCAAACATGTCCCAGACTCCAAACATGTCCAGATCCCAAACATATCCCACACCCCAAATGTGTCCCAGATCCCAAACATGTCCCAGACCCCAAATGTGTCCCAGACCCCACACGTGTCCCCACTCACCGGGTCCCCTTCCACCACCTCCCCTTGGTGGTTCTTGATCACCATCACCACCTGGGCCTGGAAGGTGATGATCAGCACTGGGCCCTGCTCCATCATCTTCCCCATGGCCAGCTGCAGGGAAGAGAATTCCACGGAGATCCATCACCCCATTCCTGCAGGGCCACGGAAGAGTTCCCACCACCCCACACACCCCCAGCGGAGAGATCACCCCATTCCTGCAAGGTCTGCAGTGGGAGATCCCAAACGTGTCCAAATCCCAAATGTGTCCAGACCCCAAACATGTCCACACCCCAAACATGTCCACACCCCAAACATGTCCCAGACTCCAAACATGTCCCAAATCCCAAATGTGTCCAAATCCCAAACATGTCCAGACCCCAAACATGTCCCAGATTCCAAACACGTCCCAGACCCCTAACGTGTCCCAAACCCCAAACCTGTCCAAATCCCAATCATGTCCAGACCCACAACCCAAACGTGTCCCAAATCCCAATCTTTCCCCACACCCCAAATGTGTCCAGACCCCAAACATGTCCAGACCCCAAACAGGTCCCAGATCCCAAACATGTCCCAGACCCCAAACGTGTCCAAATCCCAAATGTGTCCAGATCCCAAACGTGTCCCAGACCCCAAACATTTCCAGACTCCAAACACATCCCAGACCCCAAGCGTGACCAGACTGGAAGAGTTCCCACACCCCAGACAGTTCCAGCTCCCCTTTGGCTGTTCAATCACATCAATTCCATCATTCTGATATGATGGAAAAGCTGTTTCCCAAAAAAATTCCAAGTGAAAACATGGGAACTTTCAAAGCTTTCCCCAAAGTGTTGTGGATTTTTTCACTATTTTCCCAAGTCCAGCAATCTGGGAAATTGGAACGAGCTCTGCTCCGTGATTTCCAATTAGAAAGCAAAATCAAAGACACCCTGCTCGCCAAAAAAACGGAATTTTCTGAAGGAAATGCTTGGAATCAGAACATCCTGAGCTGGAAGGGACCCACAAGGATCAAACAGAGCCTTTTCTCCTGCTTTTAAATCAGTTTTTTTGCCAGGAAGTTGTTCTGAACCAGACAAAAACTGTATCAGAAAGACTTCAAGGTGGGAACCTTTTGTTTGCCAGATTTTTCCCCTCTATTCCCAGGCCATTCCATTAAATATTTTAAGACTTTATTCACTGGAATGCAAGAGGAGTGGAGATTCAAAATTCTTTTTTTTACTTTTAAAAACCCAGAAATCTTTTTTTTTTTTACTTTTAAAAACCCAAAAATCCCTTTTTGCCTGTCTCTTGCATCCCCCTTTTTTTTTTTTTTTTTGTGGGAATGCAGGATGCCATGGGATGCTCTGCTGCTCTTTAGCGCAGGAATTTCTGCCTGTGCTGCCCCAAAAAGGAATTCACAGGGACTGAGGACAGCAGGATTTTCCTCTTTTGAAATGTTCCCAAACATTTCTGTTTTATCCCTAATAAAGGAAGCAGCACCAGGACAAGGCTGGGCTGTGTCACAAAGGAATAAATTTATTTATAGGGTGATTTTCCTGTTCCCTGAGGGAATTTCAACAGCTCTGCAACGTTCCCATGCCTGATCCCAGGGAATAAGCTCCATCCCAATGCACACCTGGAGCTCAATTTATTAGGAAATAAAAACCAGATTTTCACCCAAACCCAAGCCTAGCTCAATTTTCAAGATATTTTAGATGCCATCCATAACCCCACAGCATCCAGTGGGATTGCAGCAGGAGTGTCCCTGATCAAAGCATCCCTCCCAGCCTTCCCGTTGGGATGATTCCTCAGGGCTGGGATCCCTGGGAATTCCTGTCCCTGGAACAGCTCCAGCTCCCCCCAAAAACACCTGGAGAGCACCTGGAATGTGGCCAAGTCAGCCCAGAATCCCTGGCTTGGGTGGGAAGGACCTTAAAGCCCTTCCAGTTATGGGATTTTCCTTCCTGCAATGGGATTTCCCTTCCAGCACTGGGATTTCCCTTCCAGCACTGGGATTTCCCTTCCAGTTATAGGATTTCCCTTCCAGAAATGAGATTTTCCCCTCTAGCCCTGGGATTTCATTTCCAGTACTGGGATTTCCCTTCCAGAAATGAGATTTTCCCCTCCAGCACTGGGATTTCCCTTCCAGCATTGGGATTTCCCTTCCTGCAATGGGATCTCCCTTCCAGAAATGAGATTTTCCCCTCCAGCACTAAGATTTCCCTTCCAGCATTGGGATTTCCCTTCCAGCAATGAGAATTCCATTCCAGCACTGGGATTTCCCTTCCTGCACTGGGAATTCCCTTCCAGCACTGGGATTTCCCTTCCAGTTATAGGATTTCCCTTCCAGAAACGAGATTTTCCCCTCCAGCACTGGGATTTCCCTTCCAGTTATAGGATTTCCCTTCCTGCACTGGGATCTCCCTTCCAGAAATGAGATTTCCCTTCCAGCACTGGGTTTTCCCCTTCCTGCACTGGGATTTCTCTTCCAGCACTGGGATTTCCCTTCCAGCACTGGGATTTCCCTTCCAGCACTGGGATTTCCCCTCTGGGAGCAGAAAAGCCAAACCCCAGAGTTCAAACCCAGAATTCAGGGCAAAGAAGGTTGGATTTGCTGATCCCGGAGGATTTTTCCAACCTTCCTGATCCTAAAAAAAGCCCTGCTGAGCCCATGAGTTTAATTCCTCCCCCAGAAGAGAAGCTGGGCAGGGAACTCACGTCGATGTTGTCGATGTCCAGGATCCTGGAGTGGAACTGGAGCCCCAAAGCCTTGGCCTGCTGGATGGGATGGGCCAGCTGGCTGTAGGTCTGAGGGGTGAACAAATTTGGGTTGGGAATTGTTTGGAATTGTTCTGTCATCATCAAAAAAACAAAAACAAAAACAAAACCAACAAAAAAACCAACCAACCAACCAAACAGAAAAAAAAAAACCAAACCAAAAGAAAAAAAAAAAAGGAATTTTTGCTTGGAGAGAGCCACCAAAAAAAAACCCAAAAAAAACCCACGAGAAAATGCCACATTTTTTGTAAATGTGCTGAAGGAAGGGATTAAAGAACTGCAGGAAATGGTCTGGGATTCACAAAAATCCCACTAAAATCCCACTTTCCCTGGGCAGAATGTGAGGAACTGAGAGCACCTGAGAGAGCTGAGGGACTCACAACTGGATGGAACAACAAGGAAAAACAGGGAAAAGCAGGATAAAGCAAGGAAAAGCAGGGAATAGGAAGGAAAACCAGGGAAAAAGAGGGAATTCAGTATCACAATCACCATCTCAGCACCCGTGGGATCCATTAAGAGGTTTTATCCCCCAGGTTTTCAGGGATAGGATTCCCATTTCCTCCCCTGGCTTATCTGACTGATTACTCTTGACTTGGAGCTTCACTTCCAATTCCAGCTGCCTTGGGAATGTTTATGATTTTGGGCTCACAAACTGCCCTGAAGCTGCTGCTTCCCTCCAGAGCAATCCAAGGTGTCATTCCCAAGGTTGCTGGAAGGAGGGAAGAGTCTCTGCTTTTAGACTGGATTATTGTTACAAAAAATAAAAAATAAAAAAAGCTCATCAGGATTTATTAAATTGAAAAAAAAATTGGCTCTCCCAGCCCTCTGGTGGTGGGGAACAGCACAGGGAATTCACTTGAAGAAATTCAGCTCTTGAATTATTTTGGATTTGGAAGAGCAGAATTATTTTGGATTTACAGCACAATAATTTTGGAGGAACAAAGACCCAAATAAAAGCCCACCAACACTGTCACGAAAGGCTCTGCTTTCAGGAATTCCCTGAATTCCAACCCCTCAAAATAACCCCATTTTCATGGAAGAATCCCAAGTTTTGGGGAGGTTTTTGGGAGCTTCACTCACGGCCTCATAGCACCAGTCCTTGAGGATGTCGAGCTCTCCGGAGATCAGAGCCTGGAGAGGAAATCACACAGAAGATTTTAAAGCTCCTCCTATATCAAAGTGGGACTAATCAGCCCTTCCAGCAGCAAAACACCTTAAATCCCACATTTTGTGGGACTCCAGGGGGAAATTGGAACTGCAAAGGGGAACAGCAAAAAGGATTTCGATAAAAACACAGGAGCTGAAGCCAAGGGACATAAACCTTTGGATAATTAAACTCTCTTAAAGCTCCCAGCTGAACCTTCCCAATAAATCTTCCTGTTCAACCTGCCAGAGAGGCAGCAGAGTTCCCAGAGCTCAGAAATCCTGGGATCAAACAGGAGCAGAGCTGCCATTTTCCACACTGAAAAATCCAGGGCACAGAAGGAACAGAAGAATCCCACGTTTGGCTCCTCAAGCCCCAGTTTTTCCAGTCTCTCAGAAGAATTCCTGCTTTATTTCAAATCCCTAATTCAGAACAATTCCTGCTCTATTTCAAATCCCAAATTCCCCCTGCCTTTCCTGCTGCAGTTACAGGGTGACAGGGACCCACATCCATTTACAGTCACATCTCCCATCACTGAGTCCTTAAAAACCTCAAATTCCAGACCATTGGTCACAACCTGCTGCTCTTCCTAAATCCCAGATCATAAACCAGGAGCACATCCCAAATTTCTTTCCTTACCCCTCTGCTATCATCATTTGCTCACCCACTTCTTTCTGATCCCACCTCATTTGTTGTTTTCCAGGCCAAAAAAATAATTTATTATCTCACAGTTTGAACCCAAATGTGGGATCCAATTCCTCTCCCAAAGTTCTGTGCAAAGCTGGAGAAGCAAATCCTGTCCCAGCATTTGATTTTAGCAATGGAAAAGTTTTAAAAAAAAAGCATTTTCCATGGGGAAATAAAGGGGGAAATGAAGGGAAGGAATGGCTGAGTGACCTCCAGGACGTTGGGGATGATGTCCCGCTCACACTGCTTCAGGAAGCGATCCTTGTC